CAGACCTGTACCCCTGGTGATAAAAATATATTATATGTTTAAAAATAAATAAATAAAATTAAAAAAAAAAAAGAGATGGGGTCCTTGGAGGCCTGATGGCCATGGCAGTGGACAATAGCCACCTAAGTAGGGTAATTGAGAGTCTCGAGAAGTTTGTCAATAAGAGGCCCGTTGACTCTGGGGGTTTCCTTGGTCATGAGAAATCCCCTTTTCTCACCAGAGGACAGAGTGAGTGTGAGTAATAAGGAAAGCATACTTGGAGTCAGTATAAATAGTGACCCGTTGTCCCTCAGATAAGTGAAGGGCCCTGGTGAGAGCCACGAGTTCTGCCTTTTGAAAAGTAGTCCCAGTGGGAAGGGGTGCTGCTTCTATGACTGTGTCCAGGGTGACCATTGCATAGGCCCTGTGTCACCGTCCATCTGAAGTTATGAGGGAGCTCCCATCCACGAACAGAGTGCAATCAGGGTCAGGCGGCAGCCGGTCCGAAAGTCCTGGATGGGAGAGAGAGAGTTCTTCCAGGAGTTGAGAGCAGGAATGGGAAGGAGTGGGGATAGATGAAGGTGTTGGCAAGAGAGTGGCAGGATTTAGGTGAGGGGAGACAGAGAGTGTGACCTGGGGGTATTCTATGAACAGCAGGTGGTAGAGTTGGAGATGGGAAGGAGTGAGTTGTGCCAAGGATTTGTGACTGACTAAGTCCATCAGTCGATGGGGGGAGAAGACCATGATGGGCTGTCCTAAGGTAAGTTTGAGGGCTTCTTTTGTCAGAGAAGTGGCTGCCGCTAGGGCCCTGAGGCAGGGCTGCCATCCCTGGGCGGTGACATATAGTTGCTTGGAGAGTTAATGGGGATAATGAGACCCTGCTGCAGGAGGCAGTCGATGATGGGCTTAAGTCCTCGCCTGTGGGTTGCTACTATAGATCTGGAAATGTCCCATACCTGCGGGTCTATGGAGGGGAGACAGTCTGGGACAGAGGATGAGTCAGCGGGGAGTAGAGGGAGGATGAGGTAAGCAGAAGTCAAGGGAGAGGGAGAGAGAGATGAATGGTGGCCTGAAGTTTGTGGAGGATGTCCCTGCCTAGTAGGGGACCAGGGCAGGAAGGGTTAATGAAGAAGGAGTGTGAGAAGGGGAACCCATCCAGGCTGCATGTAAGGGGTGGGCTGCCCTTTGGAGTGGAGGACGTACCATCAATTCCCATAACTGCAACTGGGGAGGGACGAATGGGACCCAAGTAGGAAGGCAGGACACAATGTCCCATGTCCAACAGAAAGGAAATGGACTTACCCGCTACCTGGAGTGTGACCCGGGGCATCGCATGGGTGAGAGGAGTGTCTGAGTCTGGGCTCCATCAGTCATCCTCCAATCTGAGAAGTTGGAAGGCAGGACTTATCATCTCAGGGTCTTCCCCACATGGAGGCACAGGGAATCCCCCGAGGCTGGGGCAGTCCTATTTCCAGTGGTCCATCATGCTGCACTGAGGGCACGGCCTAGTAGGTGCTTTTGGATTGGGGCATTGACGGGCCCAGTGTCTCTCGGCTCTGCACTTGAAACAGGCCCCTGGAGGGATGCAGTTAGGTGCTCCCTACTGTTGACCCCCAGAACCTGCTGGCCTCAGGGCTGCTACCAGGGCTTGGGTCTGCAGTTGGACTTTCTGTTGGAGTCTGGCTTGGCGCTTAAGTTCTGCTGCCTCCTCTTGAGAGTCAAAGACTTTAAATGCCATTTTCACCAGATCAGAAATGGGAGTTTGAGGGCCCTCCTCCACTTTCTTTAATTTTTTCCGAATGTCGGCAGCTGACTGAGAAATAAAGTGAGTAGCTAAAACAGTCGCCCCTGCTGGAGAGGCCAGGTCTAGGCGAGTATATTGAGTCAGCGCCTCAGTAAGTTGGTTAAGAAACATGGCTGGGTTTTCATTGGGTTGCTGAATGATTTCCCTTCACAAACCTTCTACAACTTTCCTTTGCATTCAGGTTTTGTCCCAAACAACCATCTCATTTAGGACAAAATTATCTCCTTTTACTTTCAATAAAATGCACTCCCATTCCTTAAATTTTTCTTATATATCTTCTACTTTCCTACATACTGAGTGGCTTTCTGTATCTCCATCAGTCTTACAGTTAGCAGAATTTTGTACTCTTAGAAACACCTTTAGTTATTAACCTCTTGTCAGTTATTAATCAATTGTGAACAGTTATAACAGAATTCTTTAGATGCCAATTTATGAATCAGTTAACCACAAACCGCGCTTACTAACAGATTTAAATATTCTTATTTTCTTTGCTGTAAGAAGTAAAAAACACAAAGCTATGTTCAGTATCAATGACTTGGCATTTTATTCTCTTTGGAAAAGACCTAAATGTCCAACAAATTTAATTCCATTTGTCTTCCAAGCAAAACTTTAAACTTTCAGGTTACAGAAGACTTTGAAAGCTATCTCAGCAATTACCCATTAAAACTTTGAGACAATTAACCATCAGTTTAGTCATTTCTTTGCTATCAGATTTTAACAAGTAACAAGAGCTTATTTGACCTTCAGTAAACTTTGATTAAAGTTTCACATTTACTGCGGTTAACTTTGTCAGGATAACTTTGTCAGGAGTTCGGATAGGAGTGGGGAGGGAGAGGGAGAGGGGTGGACGAGGGTGCTGGTTCAGAAATCCTGAACATAAGGGACTTGGCCCATCTGCCTTGGTGTCTGCTGAGGTTATTTAGGTCCATGAGAATCTGATAATTAAACGTGCCTTCCGGAGACCATTGGGACTGATTTAAGATTGGCCAACAGGCCTAAAACACCCCTGGGATATTTTAGGGTCGAATTTGGATTAGGAGGTTCCCGCGATTCATTGCCGGGCAACCCGAGGGCTTGGGCTGGAGGAAGGCATCCCCTCGTCCACCACTGGGTTGCAGAAAAACTGTGTCAACTGCTGTAGAGGTTAGGATGTCTCCCAGCCTCTCAGAGTCATGGAGGTCACCTGGTGACCGGCGGGGTCCGCCCTGACGCAGCTGCGATTAGGGCAGGGCTTTCCAGACGGACAGAGGCGTGGAATCGGGGGAAACTCACCAAGGCTTCAGAAGTGGCTTTGGGAAAGGCAGGTCCAGGTCTGGCTAGGGAGAGGAGAGAGCCTCCTCATTGGGGTGGGGGCTCAATCTCCTCCTGGGTTTTGGCACCAAATGTAAGGTTTTAGAGGCGAGATAAACACGACACCAGGTGAAGTGGGTGCAAGGCAAGATTTATTAAAGGCACTCTCTGGCGAAGTTTCAGGGCTCAGGAGAAGGGGAGCCAGGAAAGTTGCACCAGGAGGAGGTGGGCACCCCCTGGTGAGGTTCCTCGACTCCGGAAAGGGGAGTGGGGGAATTCGCACTGGGAGGGAGTTGGCAGGGGGTCTTTTATCGGGCCAAGGCAGGGCATGGGCTCACATCCATATATGGTAGGGTATTTGGTGATCGTAATGGTCTGGGGTGGGGGGGGGGGTTCCTGATACTTCTGTTTCCTGCATAGGTATCAGGATACCTATGGAGATGTGATCTGGGCATACATCCTTTTGGCGGGAGAGTCAAGGGTTAAGGAAAGGGGTGGGGAGGCTGGAAGATGGTGCCCCGGGGGTCATTTCTATTGTTCCTCCTGCATTTCCAGAGCCTGCTGACCCAACAAATACCAGTATGCAAACTTTGAAAATACTCTAGTCAGAAGTTAAGAGCTTAGCCTCTGTGGTATTCCAGAATCATCATGCCCCAGATCCACTGACTGCCCCTGCAGTCATTGGTGAAAAGTGTAGCTTCTATATAAACCAAATGGGATAAATAATATCTAATGTGAATCAGTTAAAAAAAAGGATTAATATTTTTCATTAGATAAATGAAGCACAGATTCTCTATTGGACCAATCTACTTCCAGGTTTAGGGACTTTGGTTTAATGGTGTGTGAGGAAGTGTGCTCCATTTGTTCTTTTCTGTTTATTCATCCTCATTCAGTCTGCAGTCTTCTGCTCTTTGCAGAGCTCTTACCCCTTGTACTAAGTTAATTTCTCTCTCCTCAATCACCAGCTCAGCTTTAATATGAGAAACATGCAGGGAAGTGTCAGAAGACAGAACTGTAGGAGGCCAGGGCAGGCTGCCCCCAAATACAGCATAATGGTAGATTGATTACTTCAATTTAAAGCTACTTAAATGACAGCCAATACTAGAAGGACACTCAGCCTCTCCTCTGTCCCCCTGAAAGCAGGAAATATTTCTTCCTGTGAAAAGTACCCTCCCTGTAGCAGGAAGGGTACTATACCCCTTAGAGCAGAGAAGGCTGTCTAAACAACTCTTGTTATTTTTTACTAATTTACCAGCCTGCCCAAACTCTGTTTAGAATCCCTTACTAACTGAAGCTCCCAAAGTTAAGTTTTCTTTGTCTTGTTAATGTCAGTCAAAATGTATAAAAACTGCCTGCCTTGGACACTTCTTGGGGCCTCAATGTCATTCTTGGGCCTCCGTGCACATGTAATATAAACTTTGTTTTTTTTCTCCTGTTAATCTGTCTCATGCCAGTTTAATTCTTACTCCAGCTGGAAGAACTTCTAATCTTGAAGGGTAGAAAAGAATTTTTCCAGTCCATCAAAAACAAGGAGTGCTAATAGGGGCCCCGATGACAAGGGAAGACAGAGCTGAGATCAGAGATGCTCATCTTTCCCAGCACATTTACAAAAGAGAAAAGAGGCTAGAAAAAGATGGTGATCAGGTTATTTTATTGTTTTGCTATAGGGGGCTATGAAGGAAATTATCTGTGGAATGGCACAGGGATAACTATCTGGGGTTCCCATGGCAGGCTGTAGACATGGGATCAGAGTTCAGAAGATGAGTTTTTAAGAAAGGACACAGATTTCTGGATTTCAGGTGAGAAGAATCCTTGAGAACAGAGTTTGAAGTCTTCACTAAAATGTCTCAGCACCACAGGTAGACCAATGGAAGATGACATTGCCGCTTTGGACTCTGTTTCTGCTCTTCTTGGCTCAGGGTCCACTTTAGCAGCAGCAGCCTCCAGATGACTGACTGCTGCCCCCTCCACAGCAGCCAGAACCCCCTGAGGGCTGGCTGCAGCATCCTAATCCCCCTGAGGGCTGGCTGCAGCAGCCAGAGCTCTGGTTTCTATGACGGTGGGGCCTGAGTCGCCCATGGTGGCTCAGGCAACAGCCTCCACCCCCAGAGCTGCAGCAGCCACCACCCCCAGAGCTACAGCAACTGCCACTCCCAGAGCTGGAGCCACAGCTGCCCCCAGAGCTGACACTGCAGCAGGAAGAGACTGGGGGACACTTTGGGGAACACTTGGGGGCGGGACATTTGGGAGGGGGCTGGCACTGCTGCTGGTTCTGCTGGCAGAACATCTCGGCTGGTGGCTGACGGAGTCAGGAGCTAAGGGAGAGTCACACAGAGAGTTAGACCCAGAGTTAGACCCAGAACACAGAGCTCCCACCCTTCCTGTTCTTAGCATCACTTCTAGCAGCCTTATTTTGAAAGTTTTGGGATCAGATATTGGAAAATCATCTCTAACGCTTTTATTACTCTTACTGGTGTACCATGTGCCTTCTTTCGCAAAGTGGCATTTCTCATCCCATTTGGAATGTTGTCAACAATATCATGTCCAAATATGTAAAGAAAGTCGATGCTAATTAATATTTCCTTAGTGTTAGAGAAAACACCAGGAAACAAATTGGCTCCAGGCCACCTTCCATTTTCTCACAACATCAAGAATCTTTCAGACTTCTAGTGTAGGCACCATTTTAGCACTGAAAACCTCTTCAATGAAAAAAACAAAAGCATTCTCTCTTGGAAGGATTTCTGATCCTTCCATATATCACTTTTGGTTTTGCAGAATATAGAAAATCATAATTGCAAAGGGCCTTGGAGTCAATTTGTCCCAACCAACTCAGTTTATAAATGAAGAAACTGAAAGGAAAAAAGGCAAATTCACTATCCCAGTGCTAGTCACTAGCTTGTCAAGGTTCCATTCCCAGACTCCCTGACTTGTAACCCAGGGATCTAATCCACATAGGCCTCCTGCTAAGGGCTGCATCCAAGGGAAGCCCCAGGGCTTCTCAACCCCTAGTTCCCACTGTGGACCTTCTTGTTGAAGTCTAAACAGATCCACAGGTGTCTCTGATTCTCTCTTCTGCTAAGTACCAATATCCTCAACACACTGTCTCTGCAACTGGGTCTGGCTGTATTTTCAAACTATATCCCTACTATGCAACCACCGCAACATAATCTAGCCATCAATGTTTTTATTCCTAAAACCAGAGAATACACTCAGCAACTGTGAACAATCTGCTGTTTCCAAAACTCTAGCATACAGCACACAAACCTTCCAAGTTACTCTTGGTCTCTTTCACCCGTCCGTCCCACCCTGGCCCTCCTGAGTCAGATTTTCTCGGTCCTCATTCTTCCAAACACAGTCCAAGGCCTCACCTGCCCTTGCTCTGGTCTGTGTGCTCTCTCTGGAAGGCTCTGTTCTCAGTCCCAGGGAACACTTACTGGAGCACAGGCAGCACTGGGTCTGTCAACAGCTCAGGAGAGGAGTGCTTGGAAGTGTTCTTGCCCCAAGGTCCTTTATCCTGGCCTTGGGCTCTGCCCCCAGCATGTGAGACAGGGCCCCAGTATGACATGACCCACCTCCTGCCACCCACATGGTCCTGTGACAGGTAATGACTGGCAGCTCTTCCTTTCCTCCTTCTAGGGACCTCAAGACCTCCCCTCCCAGCTAGGAAAGTACCTGCTTAAAATGGGGACTGTGGTAGGTGGAAACGAACATCCTCATTTCTGGAGTCCTCTATTGCCTTTTTTCTATGGAAGGCCTTCTATTCGTGTTTATGGAGCTGATCACATAGCTCCTTCATTCTTTCCACCCTAGATAGTAATTTTTCACCTGGACCTTTGGGGTTTTTGTTTTGTTTTGTTTTTTAGTTTTTATTTAAATTTTAGTTAGTTAATATTCAGTGTTATAATTGGTTGCAGGTGTACAATATAGTGATTCAACACTTCCATACATCACTCAGTACTCATCACAATAAATGCAATCCTTAATCCCCTTCACCTATTTCACCCACTCCCCCCACCTCCTCCCCTCTGGTAACCATTAGTTTGTTCTCTATAGTTAAGAATCTATTTCTTGCTTTCTCTCTCTCTCTCCTTCTCTGTCTTATTTTTTCCCTTTGTTTTGTTTATTAAATTCCACAGATGAGTGAAATCATATGCTTTCATCTAAACTTTTGAATATACATGGCTTGGGTGAAAATCTATATGTCTAAGCTATGGGGAATGGTGTGTATAGAACATTGGCTGAGAAAATAGGCTTTAGGAACCATAGCAAAGTATTCAACTTCTTTGAATCTCACAATACAGATCTTTTAAAGGTAGATAATTATAGAAATGCTATTTTTGCAGGATCTACATAAAATTCAGATGGCAAAGGGGAAGTAGGCAAGATAGTATGTGGCACTTGGTGATACTCAGGAAGTAGATAGACAATAAAAGAGAGAAATAGATGTAAACATGGATTTTTACTGGATTTTTAAAATTCCATTAAATTTTAAAAAATTGATTCTATTAGTTTTTAAATTAATTAATTTAATTAATTAATTTTATTTTAAAAAATAATTAATTTTTAAAAATTGAATTTTTAAGCTATGGATACCTTTAGTAGCTACACCTTGTTCAAACTAAATTTACCATTTTTCCTCCCATATACCTCAGTGAGTTTGGTTTGACGAGTTTAGATCATGAAAGAGGTACTGAAGGTGGGAATATTGCCCATAATGTCCTAAATTATAGCCTGAAAATAATTCACAGTTTCTTGGGAGCAAATTGAAGGGAGAAGATAAAATAAAAATGGAAAGGGTGAAGAAAAGGGAGCAGCCCAAGAGGTGGCATAAAGTACTACTTGAAGTGACACTGGTCTACTGACCATACCTAAGAATAGACACACTCAACATTCAAGTTAAAACTGTTTACATTTTTGCAATATGAATTACCTCTGTTTCCATGCCCAAAAATAACCAACTGGGAATTCTAGAAATGAAAAACACTGTCTCTGAAAAATTAAATATGCTCAAAATTAAATACAATCTCAAAAATTTATTGGATGGTCTTAGTAGATTGTAAACTGCAGAAGAACAGATTGATGAACTTAACTTGAAGAACTGAATTGAAAAGAGGGGAAAAATATAAAACAATGAACAGATGAGTGGTAATTATTGAATTATAGCAAGTAGACCAACACTCACATATTTAGAGTTTCTGAAAGATAATAAAGAAAATGGGGGATATATTTTTAAATAATGATCAATTTTTAAATTTCATGTAAACTATCAAGATACAGTCAAGCTAGGTCTGAGAACCCGGAGGGGGTCCCACAGGACCAGCTGAGAGGATCTCTGGCTACACACAAGATAAAAATCAAATGCGAGCTGGAAGGAAGGGAAAGCAGAGTTTACTGAAAATATGAAGAGAGTACAGGTACAGACAGAGTGTCTGGGAGACTCAGGAAGGAGAGTCTCATCTTTGTTCAGGATCTGTTGTACATGTCCTATCAGGTATCAAGGGACAGATTGGAACAAAGGTAAGGGCCCAGGAGTTATTCCTTGGAGTCAGGGGGTCTTAGAATCTAAGATATTTAGCACTAGTGGGCTGGAATATTCATATGATGGCTTTGTCCAGTTATCCCCACCTGGTCCTTCCTTAGATGTTATCTATTCTAAATAAATCATTAATTCCTTGCCCCTTAGGAGGAGGACATATACTATATGCGTTCTGAGGCATGTATAAAATGAGGTGGTTGTGCAGGTCATAGCAAGAATAGAAGTTGGAAAAGGATCAAAAAGCAGAATTTTATGGAGTCCTTCAGTTTTCCTATCTCCCTAGGACTAAAAAACTAATATAGCCCAAGCAGGATAAATAAAAAGAAAGCCAGTAAGTGGTACAGCATGTTCAGAAAAAGGATACAACTTAGTCTTGGAAAAGAGGTGAATGAGAGGAATTCTAAGGAAGGGTATCTGGGAAGATTTGACCCATGGAGGCTGGGTATTGGGGGTCAGAGGACATTCCAGGGAGAAACAGCAGTGTGAGAATAGGTACAGGCAAAAGGAAATTCTTGCTTACAATGTTTTTCAGGTTGCCACTGGCAAGCCTTAGCAGACCCAGCAGAAGAGTTAGAAAGGAAGTATTCTGAGCTATTAGATAATATACCAAAAAATTATGATGTCAGTCACAGCTAAACTACTCATAATCGTCCTTATAGCCAAGATAATCTATACTTCCATAATCAATACTCAGTTCCCTAGATAAAAAAATACAAAGTTTTTGTACATCCTTGAAGCTGGAATTCTTTGCCTGTGCTGTGCTCCTGCCTTACATCAACAAAACCTTTTTATTGTTAATGAATGGGAGTCTTTAGAATGGAGGTGAGGGCAGGAGAGTATTCTCTGTAGAACTGAGAATGTCTGAAGGGCAAGGCCAGAGTTTCTTTCCTCTAATTCAATAGTTCTCATTAAAAGATGGTGGGTGGATTTTATACCCCCCAACTCCTATTCCATGCTCTCAGGAGGAAGCATTTACAATCTGCAGAGGACTTTAGTCATCACAGTTGGTGGAGAGGGGGTTGTGTTTGATACTGTCATCTAGTGGGTAGAGGCCAGGGATGCTATTTAATATCCTACAGTGTGCTCCCATGACAAAGAATTATCCCAACCAAAACATCACTAGTGCTGAGGGTGGGAAACCCTGCTTTGCTGCAGGAGGATTGAGACTAGGCTCACTGGAAATACTTTCAGGATTTCTGAATGAACAAAACAATCCTCTGAAGAATGTTGATGAGATGCTATGGAAAGAACTTATTAATTAAATGATTGCCCAATCCAGGCTTTTATCCAGGCTGGGTCAAATCAGAAGGCCTTTCAATGACTAAGGGCCCAATCTCGATTCAAGCCTTGAAAGTATTTCTGATTGATTAAGAGCCTCCCCTCCCTGGTACTTCCTCTCCTCCTAGCTAACCTAAGAAAACATGCCATTGGCAAACTGGCTGAGTGGCATCAAAACACTGATGACCATTTGTGATAGCAGCTCACCTCACTATCCTTGAAGCCAACATTCACTTTGGCATCTGAGCAAACTGTCCCCAAAACCCTTATTCCTTCCAAATTCAGCTTCCTGCCTGAGCCATTTCCCACCACCCATCTCCCAGCCCTCTTCTGTCTTCCTTTCCATATCCCTTCACTCCTTCAATTCTGTCTCCTCCATGCCTCCTTTGACTTGCCCCAGCTGAACACATCCATTTCTATTTGGACTTCCCCTCTACCCGCCTGCCTGTCTAGGCTTTGCTTGGGTCTGGACT